CCTCACTATGGTTCACTGGACAGGATTGGATTACATAAGACTTGAAACCCACGTTTGGCAATAGAGAGGATTAAGTTAAATGAGAATATATAGTCCAACAATTGAAAAAACCCCGGATTTGCATGTCTAATATAGCGCGCTCGAAATTGGGTTCGCTAAATAGCACTCTCGCTATTTTGTACAAGTGAGTCCGACTGGATTTTCTTATGGCTTGAATCAAAACTCCACCACCACAAACCCAATCGCCGTACAGCAGAACCCAGCGCCCATGCCCCCCCTGGATTTCTTCTCCCCCATGACCACCACCCTCAAGCCATGCACAAACCCAACACAGAGAAGCCCAAGCCACTCGCAAAACATCTTTCTTCGCCATCCCAGCCACCAGCCGAACCCAGAACCATCTCTCTTCTCCATTTTAGTCTAATTCGTAACAATTCCAAAATAAATAAATAAATAAATAATGACCCAGAAATAGAGAGAAGAAAGAAGAGAAGAAAGAGGAAGAAAAGAAAAGAATAAGAAACCTGGGTCTGCGTATGATGCTGCTCCTATTTCTATTTGGTAGCTTCCTTCTTGCTAATGATGTTTCAACAGCTTAGTTGAAGAAGAAGAAAACGAGAGAAGGAAAAGAGAGAAGAATAAATAAAAGAGAGAAAGAAGGAAAGTAAGAATAGAATACTAGGAAAAAAAAAACCTAAAAGAGAGAGAGAGAGTTGGCAGCATCATATTTTATTCTTATTTAGGTTTTTATCAATTCACACGGTTGGCTTGGCTTGTATAATTAATTTTTTTAGTTATTTATTTTTAGGTTAAAATGTTTAATTAAATTTAAATATTAAAATAATTATTTTTTAGTCCGACAGAGCACCAAACATAGGTCTTCACTATTTTTACAATCCAACTTCTTAGTCCAACACAGCACCAAACATAAGTCAGTACTTAATCCAGCTTAGTTCAATCCGAGCTAATCCAAGACAATCCCGGGATTTAGTCCAGTCCATGACAGTCCGCCGTACCAAACGACCCCTGCTAGTACAGGAAGAGACTGTTCTCGGTCTTTGGCCTTCCTTTGTCCTCTTTTGATAATACCATAGATGCTATTGGTTCCGATCTTCAATTCATGATCTAGGAATGGTTGTTAAAGAGACCCGTGGTAATCGTCCTTTTTTTCTTTATCTGAGGCCTTAGCTATCCTACTCACTTTTCTTTTTTCTTTTTCTTGTTCTTGTTGAGATACCTTAAAATTATCATTACACGCTGCTTTCCTTAGGTTTAAAGACCCCCATGACACGTTGGCAGTGTGTCTAAGAAAACCCCCCTCCTCTTCTTAACTTTGGCAACAAAAAAAAAAAATATCAATAGGCATGAGATGTCCCCTAAAATACTAGTAAATTGTAAAATATTAATCTAATTGTATATTAACCTAGTATGGAAATCAAATAACTGAACAATTAATCTATTCAATAACACATGTTAAAATACTTCATTTTAGCTTAACTAAGAAATTGTGGAATTCGAAAGTACATTACAGTGTCCCTGTAGCTCGTTGTGAATGCGTTTTTTTTTTTTTTACACAAAGAAGATATGTGAATGCATATTTATTAAGCGTGGATGCAAATTAAGGTTTTCTATAGATCACTTTATATCTTATCTGCTGGCTTCTTATTCTAGCTAGGTTAAAATCACACTATTTGTACTTAATTAGCACTTCTCTCATGCAAAGAAGTTAATAAATTATCAAGCAATCCAACCACCTATTAGTCTCTTTTATATCATTATGATATATTGGGTAAACCAACCTTTTAGGGCCAATATTTAAACTACACAATAAATCACAAATACAATTGACGAAGAGAAGATTTTATAGCAGAATAAACTTCATGCCAGCCATTCTGTGAAGGGTGAATCGAGTCCCAGAAGAAAGAAAGTTTGGGCTTATCACATACAATGTATTTCTTTGTTCCACTCTCATTCACACTTCCGCATGAGTATTCGTTGCTCACCCCAACACAACATGGCTTCAATGGATTAATCTGGAGTGTCGAGTATCCTGCTATCCAAAAAAAAGTTAAAGTAGTATACATGAGTTTATATTTCTTGACCACCTTATATACAGATGAGGAAGACCCACATAGGTGATATCGACCTTTATTAGAAAGGTGGTGAGCAAGGTGATGAGTAAATGCGACATATCCGAAAACAATACTAGTAGAAAGGACAAAATTACCGCTCACCACAAAGAGTTAATTAATTAATTACCTTGATGGTGTTTTGGGAGCATAATTGCAGACAGAGATGCGTTATAAAGATCCAAGATTACAAATGAAGATTTCTTAGTCTCCTTGTTCAACTCTTCCACTTTTTGACGCAAAATCTGGTTATGGAAAATTGAAACCAAATTGGCAACTTCACTACAATTCTGATATGAAAGAAAGGAAGTCATGCGGGGCAGACATCCCAGGGGCCCTATCGCTGTAACAGCTATTTTTCTCACTCCCAACTCATATATACGCTCTAGATCCACAGCAAGCTGCTTAATAATGGATTTGGTGACCACAGTGAAATCCTAAAAATATGATAATTGTGCGGTACAATAATAGTTAAGTAAAATTTTAGAAATGTCACATAAATTCATACATTATTTTTCATTTTCTTACATTAAAGAAAAACTTAAGAGATATCATCTCGATTTTTCAAAATCCATGAGTTGGCTCCATATGCTAACTCAGTTACAGAATATATTAAAGAAAATCATGTGTTGTACACATGTCTCACTTAAATTATTAAAGAAAAAGAAGAAGGAAAAAAAAATAAATTTCTTTCCGACTTGCCTACATTGCGTGCATGTCAACAAACAGATAGAGTTAGCTTAACCACTTACCTCAGTGTGGTTGCCAAAATAAGCAGCATAGTCGTTACCCGCAACTGATACGAGAGCAATGGACGAGTTAACGACGTCGTTTTTGGTACTATAGAGTTTTTGTTCAAGCAGCTGTTGGAAAAAGTCGATTTGGGTGGTCAAGTTTGGTCCACCAAACACTGTATCAAAAACACCTGTCCCTCCATATGCAAAGTTCATCCCAGACTCTAGTTTTGATTTCTTCACAAATTTTCTCAATGTGTAAGGCACTGGAGATCTTATGCCCAAAAAGGAAGCTGCAATACATTGCAACATCTCAAAGAGGCATTTCATAAAACAAAATTAAAATAAAATAAAATATTGGTTTTTTTCTTGTTTTCTTTTTCTTTTAGAATTTGGTTAAACAAACAATAATGCAATTACAAATTAAAATATAGACAAAATCATGCACTCACAATCCCAATCTAGTAGTAAGAGCATCCACTTTACACCTCCGGAGGGTATAAATGTGGTGTTCAAATAGGGAATATGTAAATTCAAAGATGTATATTTGATTTTCTTGTCTAAATTCTTTTTTTTTTTTGTTAATTTTATAAAATTAATTTTATGTGTGTTAGAATTAATTTATTTTTCCAAACAAATAGACCTAAAAATATTTATAGAATATATATTTGAATTGTCCATGTTTAAATAATATATGAAGAATAATTTCTTGTCAAATATTTCACATGCAAACATACTAGAAAAAGTAAAATTCAACTATAGTGGCAAACATACACTCATTATCTAACATATATTTTTGGACTGAAGAAAATACTCTTAAGAGAGAAAGAAAAGGAACCTATATAATCAGTGAGCACGAGACCATCTGAAAATCGACCAGCTGGTTTTCTCGGAAAAGTGATGCCATAAGGTTCCTTCCATGAAGCAGATATAGATTTTCTGGTATTTCCAGTATCAGCATACGAGTCCCCGAAAACAAAAAGCTTCACAGAACCATGACGATTATGACGATGATGGTGATGATGTGCTTCAAGAACTTCTGCCACTATATATCAAAGGCGAAAAGGGACAAAGAGTAAATATGACAATATAAATACATTTTTCTTTGTCTAAATAATAATTTGTGGCTACAGTTAATATATGATTATCAAGAACATGTATATTTGTTTTGGTAGCACTAACCTGTAAACGTGGCGATGTATAAAAGGAAGAGACAAGAAGAGGCTATGGTTTGCTTCTCTATTTAAAAGCAGAGATTTCGGATGTGTTGAAAAATAAAGAACTAAATGATATGAAGTGATATTGTGGGTGGAAGACACTGGCAGTCTTATATATATATATATATATATATATATGTAGAGCATGATGCAAAGCAATAGGTTAGGTTTTACAGCTTAGAAAAGGAGGTTGGGAAAATGCGTAGATTATTACAATGATTAAAATTAAATTTAATGCAGGAAAATATATAGATTCTAAATGCAGAGGCTCTAAATCCTCATAATATATTAGTACTATTTCCTTTCGAGGAATTTTCCATTCTATAAACATTTCTGAAATTCAACAATTTCGTTGCAACACTTGGAAAGTTGTGTATCTTTTCTAAATTTGGTGACCTTATTGGTACTATTTCTCTATAATAAAAAATAATAATTATAGTATCCATAAATAAACTTACTTCAAAGCCAAACAAATTATTTTGATTTAAAAGTCTTCATAAGTTGAGCAGATGAAATGAGTTAAAAGTCAACCCATTTAGAGTTTGTATCATGAATGGTCCCTGAATTTTCCAGGAGTCTTCATTTGAGTCATCAAACTTTTAAACCAATGAATGTGGTCCTTAAATAGTCAACTACCAAGTTTGACTCTCGATGCTATTGGCCTCCATTCTGTGAGGGCCTACCTGGAGCCTTACATCGTTATCCTGGCCCAAATGCAAATGAGATCACTATGCACCTTCTGGTGGACACTTGGGCCATATTGATAACCCAAATGCAAATTAGATGACTTGCAGCTTGTGGTCGACGCTTGGGCCATATTTTAAAAGGGCAAAGGTACAAGGAGCCAGCAGCTGAACGCCACTTCGAAGATGCAAAAATATTGTGGTATTGACAAAGTTCCTTATATGAACTCAATGTCAATATTTAGGATGCTGGGCACAAAATAATTCAATTCTTAGTGACAAATCTCTCTATAACCTTCTCTCTCTTTCATCTGGTTGCTGGTCTGCTCTGACTCCTGCTGTATCTTGGAGGGCTAGTCTTGGCAACATCAACAACTATCATCCAGCCATTAATGATCTGCAAGAATTATCAACAAAATATAGGCTAAGCTTTCCTCTTCAGAGTGTTGGATCTGTTTTATGAACATGTAAAACATGTACCAAAGACAAGAAAGACTACGCCTACGTGTTTGATTTATTCGAATCAGTTTATAAAAATGAAGAGCATGTTGAAACTTGCCTTGCCATTCATCTCTCTGAGTGCTGCACTAGCAGCTTCCTCCGTGGTGTATTCTATGAATGCATAACCTTTGGACCTTTTAGAAATTTTGTCCATTATTATTTTAACTGTTGAGGCAAACATTTAATTAGAATGAGCATATACTGCCATCAAATTGAAAACCCCATTTTATGCTTAAAAAAAAGTGTAGTACCTTCAACAAGCTCACCAAAGCCTTCAAATGCTGCCCGGCCATTAAAAGCAGAGATTTCGGATGTGTTGAAAAATAAAGAACTATATGATATGAAGTGATATTGTGGGTGGAAGACACTGGCAGTCTTATATACATACGAGCATGATGCAAAGCAATAGGTTAGGTTTTACAGCTTAGAAAAGGAGGTTGGGGAAATGCGTAGATTATTACAATGACTAAAATTAAGTGAAATGCGGGAAAATACGTAGATTCTAAATGCAGAGACTCTAAATCCCCATAATATATTAGTACTATTTCCATTCGAGGAATTTTCCATTCTATAAACATTTCTGAAATTCAACAATTTCATTGCAACACTTGGAAAGTTGTGTGTCTTTTCTAAATTTGGCGACCTTATTGGTACTATTAAAAAATAATAATCATAGTATCCATAAATAAACTTACTTCAAAGCAAAACAAATTATTTTGATTTAAAAGTCTTCATAACTTGAGCAGATGAAATGAGTTAAAAGTCACCCCATTTAGAGTTTGTATCATGAATGGCCCCTGAATTTTTCAAAAGTCTTCATTTGAGTCCTCAAAGTTTTAAAACAATGAATGTGGTCCTTAAACCGTCAACTACCAAGTTTGATTCTGGATGCTATTGGCCTGCATTCTGTGAGGGCCAGCCTAGAGCCTTACATCGTTATCCTGGCCCAAATGAGAGGAGAAATGAGATCACTGTGCCGTTTGTGGTAGCCACTTGGGCCATATTTTAAAAGGGAGAAGGCACAAGGAGCCAACAGCTGAATGCCACTATCCTGCATTTTAGGACTCGAGATATCACTTTGGAAAAATAATGGAAAAATTGGGCCATATTTTAAAAGGGCAAAGGCACAAGGAGCCAACAGCTGAATGCCACTATCCTGCATTTTAGGACTCGAGATCTCACTTTGGAAAAATAATGGAAAAATAGCAGATCCTAGGATGGTTTAAGAGCATTTGGGTACACTTCCTTATTAACCGGTTTTTAGGGGCAAGTTCTACCCATGGGCTCTTATCATTGCAACAGAAAATATGTAGGTCAATTCTTCGAAAATGCAAAAATATTGTGGTACTGACAAAGTTCCTTATATGAGCTCAATGTCAATATTTAGGATGCTGGGCACAAAATAATTCAATTCTTAGTGACAAATCTCTCTATAACCTTCTCTCTCTTTCATCTGGTTGCTGGTCTGCTCTGACTCCTGCTGTATCTTGGAGGGCTAGTCTTGGCAACATCAACAACTATCATCCAGCCATTAATGATCTGCAAGAATCATCAACAAAAAATAGGCTAAGCTTTCCTCTTCAGAGTGTTGGATCTGTTTTATGAACATGTAAAACATGTAAACCAAAGACAAGAAAGACTACGCCTACATGTTTGATTTATTCGAATCAGTTTATAAAAATGAAGAGCATGTTGAAACTTGCCTTGCCATTCATCTCTCTGAGTGCTGCACTAGCAGCTTCCTCCGTGGTGTATTCTATGAATGCATAACCTTTGGACCTTTTAGAAATTTTGTCCATTATTATTTTAACTGTTGAGGCAAACATTTAATTAGAATGAGCATATACTGCCATCAAATTGAAGACCCCATTTTATGCTTTAAAAAAAAAGTGTAGTACCTTCAACAAGCTCACCAAAGCCTTCAAATGCTGCCCGGAGGGTTTTCTCAGATTTATAAAATGATAAGCCTGTTCAGAAACTAAAATCTTTTTAGCAATTTCAAGGGAAAAAGAAGCTACAGATATTGAAGAATATCGAGATCTTTTGAATAATTACAACGGATAAGTCTAGTAAAGAGTTAAAACATAGTTAGCATTACAGGGGTGTTTTTGATTGTCTATTTGAAAATATTATATTGCTGTAATGGTTAGCATTGGTGCCATTAAATAGAAAAGGACCCGAATAATGTTGCAAAAAAACAACTATCATCAATTTCACTCTTAAAAAGAAAATTAAAAAAAAAATTCATAATAGTTTGTAATTACGAATACTAATGTCAGGTTGTTAACAACCCATTTCATGTTCCTTCAGGAATCTTTAACTTCATATAAACCATCAGCAATAAACAAAAATGACTGAGGTGAAAAAATTATATTGAAATCGCTAATAAATGCGGGTTTCCTTCTACTTGATAAACATGGTACAAAAGATGTCATCCTTTAGTGCAAGGGATCGGGAATAAAGCTAATAATTTAACGGAAAACTATAGTTCAACACACGTCAAGCTCCATCAGATTATCAGATACTACCAAGCCTCTTCCCAAATATTTAAGAATTGTTAAGGAATGAGCGATATTGTAGCGATATTTTAACAAAATATTGCTGAAGTGTGAGTGAAATTATCGACATCGATATTTTCCGATATTATCGTTGATACTATCGATATTTATACGATATGTGTATGGATACATTCCGAAATATCCGTCACCCGAAAAAACGATAATACCCTCGATATTTCGTCGATATTATCGATATTTTAGACTATGATCTAAACTCACATACACAGCTAGGATGTCATGGTGATTCAAAACTGAGATCTCTGGTCTGTAAGATAAATTCTCCTCAGCCATATATAAGAGCCTGTTGGGGTTGACATGCGTGTTACTCATCATTAGGACTCAAATTATGTGTCCCTTGCATTACTGTTCAGTAAAAGCTGGATTGGATAATGACCAGTATTTTTTATTTATTTTCGGTTGTGTGTCAAATACAACCAATTTTACTGATGGAGAAAAGATATGGAGATGGGAGCGGATCCACAGTCCCCAAACCAAATCAAAACTAAACTAATCCAATAAGTTTCTAGTGTTTTTAGCTAAATTTCAACTAAAAAATAAGGAGCATAATTGTAGATGTTCTTAATCCCACCACCGCCTTCAACCTCACCATTGCCGCATCGGACTATTTCCAAAACAAAGATCCAATTGCTGTTACTCCTTTGTAACAATTACTTTAATCAATACAAGACAACAATTCTCTCACATGTCTCTCGGTTTTGCATTTATCTAACACGTCCCAACCAAACGCGCTCACATGGATATGTTTTTAATGAAATTATGATGCAAATAACTAAATACTCGGTTTTGTCCTCAGGCTTTTGGCGATATTATTAGTTTCTATTAAACAACTACATATTGGCCATGGTTTTTAACGAATCCTTTTATTTTGTTGGACCTTACCTAATACCCACCATCATCGACAATGATACCTTAATAACTTGAAATTTCAGTCTTTTGTTTGCTTTTTGCGTCAAGTACTTTTTGAGTATTGTGTATCAATTCTGATTTTAAAAATATGTTTTGTTACGAAAAATCTTTGCTGAGATTTCTGATATCCACATGTGAACAAAGACTTAGACAAAATGCTTATTAAACAAAGACTGACAATTACCAACATGCTAACTACTTTAACAAGTCATTCTTTACTCCAAGTCTAATTCATTAAATTTATTAAACAAAGACTGACAAAATGCTTATTAATCTATATTTCCTTCACTGTTTGAAATCATTAAATTTCATGGACACTAATATTATTAGCATTTTTACAGCAACAATGACCAAATGTTATGAAGAAGGAAAATAAACTACAAAACTCTTTCAATAAGGAATTCGTTGGAAACTTTTTGAGGGTGTGTGTGCGTGTAAACTCTAGTACAATAAAGCCAGAGAAAGCAGCGGAAAAGAAGATAGAAGATGAAAGAAAAGGATTGCCCATTAAACAAAAAAAGGAATAGAGGGGAGAGAGAATATAATAAAATAATTAATAGTCTTAAAAGTTGGGCTGCTAGGTTGTCCGCAATGTTTATTTTTAAATTTGAATGATGTGTGAAAGAAAAGGATTGCCCATTAAACAAATGCAATTTTAATAGTTGAAACTTACTTAATTCGATAATTTAAATGGTGTGTCAAAAAATGTGGTTCTACATGTGTCTGCTAATATTTTTAAATTTGAATGATGTGTGAAATACCACTAATATCCTTGCATTATGATTTTTAGTATTTTTGAAGACTTGTATGGTACATTTTAGTCTTTTGAATGATGTGTGCAAGAATTGAGATGGTATTCAACCAAGGTTATATTACTATTTGGATAAGAGTGTTTTGGCTGTTCATGGAGTGTTGAAACTTGAAAAGGTATTTGTGTAATTACTAATTATGTTCTACATGTGTCTGCTAATATTTTTAAATTTGAATGATGTGTGAAATACCACTAATATCCTTGCATTATGATTTTTAGTATTTTTGAAGACTTGTATGGTACATTTTAGTCTTTTGAATGATGTGTGCAAGAATTGAGATGGTATTCAACCAAGGTTATATTACTATTTGGATAAGAGTGTTTTGGCTGTTCATGGAGTGTTGAAACTTGAAAAGGTATTTGTGTAATTATCATGATATGAAGGAGTTATATAAAAACCCTAAAAACCTCAAGGGTAAATTACTCTTGGTTGAATTTGTTTAATTACGTCAACGAATTGGAAATGGTAAATCACATAATCCTCACCCTTCGTGGACCCCATTGGTTTAACAAGTGATTACTCAATTGGGTAAGCCCCTGTAAATAAAACAGAAATTGCAAAGCCTCTCCATTTGACGCGTTTTTGGGTCTACCATCAGTGCTGGTGGCAGTAGCCAGTAGGGGCCTATCCCAATTAAAAGACTCTTCTGATAAAAAAAGACTCTGTAATGAGCGTGTCTATATATATATATGGCGCAGATTTGGAGCAAATGGTAAATCACATAATCCTCACCATTGCATTAACAAATGGTTCTTCACTCAATTGGGTATAGTAAATAAAACAGAAATTGCAAAGCCTCTCCTAAGTAAGCCCTTGGTCAGATCCATCTAAGAATGGCCGTCTCCGCAGATGCAGCTGTTGTGGAACTTCTTGATAGCAGTAACTATGAGGATTGGAGTGTATTGGTTAAAACTTACTTGTTGGCTCAAGACCTTTGGGATGTAGTGGAAGAAGACGAAGAAGAAGAAGAAGAAGCTGATGATAAGTTCAAAGCTTGGAGGAAGAAGAATGCCACGGCTTTACATAAAATCCAAATTTCATGCGGGGCGGAAGCTTTTTCCCTCATTAGGAACACCACTTCAGCCAAATGCGCTTGGGATATTTTGGCAGAAGAGTTCAACTACAACCCAAAACCAAGTAAGTCCCCAATTCAAATCTTGAACCTCAACAAATCTGTGAGAAGTAAATATTCGACTTAAACCAGAAATATATATATATAACCAAATTATACTCTAAACATTTAATTGATTAACCACAAGACTGATCAGTTTACGTTTTGTTCTTTTAGGCAATTTCCAGTCATGGGCTATATCCCAAATATAGCCCTAAAATAATCAAAAACCCATCTCCAGCCAACAAAATTTTTGCCAAATTTGAAGGGCCACATTTGGCCCTTTACCCCTCCAACCGGGCCACATTTGGCCTAGCTTTAGCCTAGGCCAAATTTTTTGTGGGTCCCATGCATGTGCTTTTGAAAAAGATAAATTATCAAGTGTAGGTCTCATCCCATACATAGTTTTTCTCAAAATAATAAAATATGAATGATCCTAAAATATAGCTATGCATGGCTAGAGATGGAAAAATTTAGCCCTACACTATTCTTTAAAAAATTTATGTTTTGGAGGGCTAAATATTTAGCCTTGGACTACATTTAGCCCTATGACTAGAGATGGCCTTACATTTTGGTCTCCCTAGACTTATTGTATCCGAATAGAAATATATATCTTTAGGCAAATTACATGTGTAACAATGTGGAAATTAAATCTAACGGTGTCAATTTACCCCTTTGGCTTTATTTATTTATTTATTTTAAAATAGCTAATTTCCCCATAAATCACGAAACTACCCAATTTATAACCCATGCTCATATTCCGAGCAATTCCATTCAAGACTTAATTTGAAAACATATAAACCTGTTTTCCAAATTAGAAAAGCTTTGTATCAACTTTATTCAGCCTACTAAAACAAGGATGATATGATTTTAGTTTAGAGTTGTTATTTTGATATAACAATGGTAAACAGAGAAGCATTAACGTCCAAACATATATATACTCGACAGATGCTGCCAAGCATGATCCGTATCAACCTTTCTTCGCTGCTGTTAAGCTCGGTGATTGGCGTAAAGCGAAGGAATTTCTTACCCGAGATCCCAATGCAATAAGAGCAATATATTCAACAGGAGGGACAGCTCTTCACATTGCAACCAAGTTCGGACATGAGCATATTGTGGAAGAGTTGGTTCAGTCGATGACACCGGAAGACTTGGAAATTGTGGAAGATGATAATTGGACAGCTCTTCATCTTGCTGCAAGATTAAATCTCAAAATGGTTGAATGCATGGTTACAAAGAACAAGAAACTACTTGGCATTGCTGACGGGTCCTACGGTCTGACGCCAATTCTCGTCGGTGCTCAGTTTGACTTATGGGATATCGTTCGTTATCTCTACTCCCTCACTCCGATCCAAGACTTAATGCCAGAGAATGGCCCTTATGGCGCTGGGCTTGTTTGCATGTGTTTACGAGCCAAACAATTTGGTAACATTCTCTACCAACCCTGACCCACATTATTTATTTATTTATTTTATACAAACAATATTGGGATAGGGGGACTTGGGACATAAGGTGCAGGGGTAACTGTTCTTAAACACATGAGCTACAAGCCCCCCTTGCATTATTTACTCATTTATTACTCAAGCTTTTAACTTTAACAGTTCCTATTTTCTCTAATATAGATATTGCGTGGGAATTACTTCAGCGTTGCCCACGATTGGTAATTGCTGAAAGTCCGCAGGGAACATCCCCTATACAAGTATTGGCTGATATCCCTTATGCATTTCCGAGTGGGACGCAGCTCAAATTCTGGGAAAAGTGGATCTATGATGGTTAATAATATATTTTTTGCTAACAGTTCATCTAAACCATTAATATATTTTGCAAACAGTTCATCTACACCATTAATATATTTTGCTAACAGTTCATCTACACCATTAATAAAGATTTCAATTATTCGATCACATTGCACGGAGGGCCCTACCATAATGGTCCATTTATTTGTTTAACATCTATTATCACAAAAGATAATAGTTATTGAAATTGATCTTTCATGTCCAAAAAAAATATTTATTTATTATATTGAATGAGCTTTGTTCTCTTTTCTTTATAGGTATACACATACAACACCCTCCTGCCATCCCTGATTTTCATGTAAATGTTGAAAATCTAGAAGAGAAACTGGGCAACCAAAATATCAGTTTCTCAGGTTTGCTAGATCTCGAAACCCTAGCTATATGGTATAATCAAATGAAATCATTTTCTATTATATTCTCCGCATTTTTTTCAAACTGTTTTCAATGATACATCTATTTGATAAGAAGTTGATCATAACACAAAAAGAAATTGGTTCTAGTATGCTCATAAACAATAACTAAAATCTTAATAAGAATCTGTGAATCATATAGCAAAGCACATTCATACTTTGTATAAACAAGGCATATTTATCTTATGGTAAAGGCTGGATTTTGAATTTGCATTGCAGTCTTCGGTTTAACGCAAGGGCCTTCTTCAAGCCTCCGCAAGCTTTTAGGTACATATGCAAACATTCTTTTCCATCTTTATTTATTGGTGTATTTTATTTCTTCAAAAACTCGTTGTAACATTTTTTCCAACATCAACCTAGGAATCAACCGCATATGTGAAATGAAATTGATCCATGCTCGATCCCTACATATTTTGGATTACATGTGTGAAGTGTTAAAACATCTAGACAGTCAAGAAATGGAAGATGCCCTTGTCTATTCAGCAATATTCCAAGCTGTACGAACTGGGATTATTGAGTTCGTTATTCGTTTATGTAAAGTAGATCCTGATATATTGAGTGTCGCCAGGAAAAAGTATATAGCCTCATATATGGGGTTGATCAAAGAAATCTTATTGCAACATTTTCAGATGCTTCTGGAAATGATATGCTACATCTTGCAGGGATGCTATCTCCAACAGAAAAACTTGATCGTATTTCAGGTGCAGCCTTGCAAATGCAGAGAGAAAGACAATGGTTCAAGGTTAGATATCTTCATTCTATATCTTTCTTGTAAATTAATTGTATTTAGAGCTAGTTGTGGGATTAGGTGCTGGAGTGGTAGCTTGTAAAAGTGGTTGTGGGTTGATATGTTGTCGATGATACTAGTGGCGGTATTGGGTTGGTAGGGCTTTCTAGTGTAGTTGAGGTGGGAACCCTAGATGAGAGGATGGGAAGGTTTTGTGGTCTGGTTGAATGATTTTGGGAAGGAGGCAGTTCGGACTCATGAAAACATTTTTCTCTGCTACGATCTACTTTTTATTCTAAACATGTCTTTCGAAATTCATCCAAAGGTTAAAAATATGACACCACACCCACATATTTCATATGCCAAGAAATACTGTAAGGCATATTTGATTAGGGTAAAATGCTCTTTTGTTTCAAGTTGGGAGACACAGGTTAAAATTTTAGGTAACATGAAGTAAGTTGCAAGCCAACCCTTTTTCACGTTTATTATATTAACAGGCGAACAAGAGAAAATTTAAGAGTTCATTTAAAACCCTAAGGATAAGAAAAAAGAAATACCATTGCCGCCCTCTTGTGGGTTGGTGGCCTCCCTCCTCCCCTCCCCTTCCTCCACTCCCCCGCCCAGTTCTTCCACTCAGCTCTCCATTTTTTGTATTTTTTGTTTTGCGGTGTGGAATCAGTTGTCGTCGTGACAGTCGTCGTCTTTTGGCCCATGTACATAGCTACCACAAGGATTTGGCTCCAGTTCTTCTCAGCTTTGACATGGGTTTGGAGCCAGAAGGCGGGGATGTTACTGCGCTGTGCAGGGTTTGGGTTTAGCCAGTATGGTGCTATGGCTCTATTTGATATGCACGGGAGGATACAGTCAGGTGGCTCTGCTTTTTAGTTTGTTTATGTCTAATAATTTTACGAAACTCTTCAGGAGCTTTTTATGTTTTGCTTTTTCTTATTGAAAGGTTTTATTTAATGTAATGCATGAGGTGAGATCCCGACAAACTATTATTTAGCAACTACAAAAATTTCACTTGCCTCATAGAAAAATAGGTAGTAAACAACAGTGAAATCCTGACAAGTTCTATTACGTTGTGGTCAACAATGCTCCTTGTCGTACTTCTTTCATGTATTATGTTGCCTTCCATAAAAGCAGTGATTCTAGAGTAAGTTACCTGGTATAGCCACAACGAACTTGAGGTTTATATGTTTAATGAAATGCAGGAGGTGGAAAGTAATGTAGTTTTACCCTCGGGAGTGGGAGCTTTCAATAACAAGGGTATGAGTCCCCATCAACTATTTACCCAGAACCATAATAAATTGAAGGAAGAAGGAGAAAAGTGGATGAAAGATACAGCAACTTCTTGTACAGTTGTAGGTGCCCTCACTATTACCATCATGTTTGCTGCAGCCTTCACGGTTCCTGGTGGAAACAATGGAGGAACAGGCTTTCCCTTGTTCTTAGATGAAAAGATGTTTATAGTTTTTATAGTTTCAGACGCTATATCACTCTTTTCTTCCACAACTTCAGTGTTGATGTTTTTGGGAATCCTTACATCACGATATGCAGAAGACGATTTCCTAAAATCCTTACCCACAAAGATGATAATCGGCCTTTCAACACTCTTTATCTCCATCGCTTCCATGATGGTTGCCTTTTGTTCTGCTCTTTTCCTTATGCTTCATGAAAGACTATGGATTGTCATTCCAATCATTTTCCTCGCCAGCATTCCAGTCACCTTATTTATTTGGATGCAATTTCCCCTTCTTGTTGAGATTTTCATTTCAACATTTGAGTTGTTGGTGTTGCTATGTACCCTCCGTTTGGATGAAGGAATTGAAAATTACATAGAATTCTTTTACAAAGATGTAGTTTCAGGGTATAAAGGCCTAGTGTGGTATATTTGTTAGATTTTGTAACCTCTGTTCTGGCAGCCCCTTCCTTACTTACCACAGAGATAGTGCAACTCAGATCAATAGGCATGATATGTCCCCTAAAATATTAATAAATAATTGTTAAATATCTAATTGCATGAATAAATAAATCAAATAAAAAAGCTCATCTGTTCAATAATGTAACACGATTAATTAAGAAAAATTGGCATTCGAACGTACATTAATTTTCTCATGGTGTTTACTGTAATGAACGTACATTAAGGTTTTCTAGTATCACTTTCTTTCTTATTCAAGCTAGGTTCACTTAAAATCATCTTGTTTGAAGTTAATTACTGTAATGAACGTACATTAAGGTGTTTACTGTAATGAACGTACATTAAGAAAACATTGATCAATTCTCATGCAATCCAACCCTATCTTTAGTCTCTTTCATATCAAATGATATATTGGGTGATTCTCATGCAATCCAACCTTCTAGGGGCAAAGTTTAAACTACACTATACATCACGAATGCAATTGATGAAGAGAAGGTTTTATAGCGGCATAAACTTCATGCCAACCATTCTGCGAAGAGTGTATCCCAAAAGAAAGAAACATCAGGGTTATCGCATACAATGTACTTCTTTGCACCAGTCTGATCCACACTCCCGCATGAGTATTCATTGCTTACCCCAATACAACATGGTTTTAGTGTGTTAATATGGAATGTCGAATATCCTGCTATCGAAAAAAGAATGTGATCAAGTATAGACATATATACATGAGTACGACCACATTTATTGACTACCAGCTTATAAACGTATTTAAGGACTCACATGGATGGTATCTGCTTTTATTAGAAAGACGGTGAGCAAAGTGATCAGTAAATGTAAAACAAATAGCACTATCCAAAGGTAATACTAGTAGAAGGGATCAATTAGCGTTTGCAGAAAAGGGATTCATTACCTTGATGATGTTTTGGGGGCTTCACTGCAGACATAAACGCATTATAGAGATCCAAGTCGACAAATGCAGAATTCTTTGTCTCCTTGTTCAACTCGTCCAACTTTTGAAGCAGAATCTGGTTGTGGAACATTGAAGCCATATTGGCAAATTCATTGCAGTTTTGATATGAAAGAAGGAAGTTATGCCGGGAAGACATCCTAGGGGCTCTATTGTTGTAACCGCTATTTTTTGCAATCCCAAATCATGTATACGCTTCAAATCCACAGTAAGCTGGTTAATAATAGATTTAGTAAATATTGCCAAATCCTGTCATTTGGAAGATACGACGAGTACGATCAAGTTAGTATAAAGTCTCTTCAAAATTCAATATATCATGTATGTATTTTTGGACATGCCAAGAACCCCACATAGTTCGGAAACATCTAAACCCTTTAATAATCTTGTGTTTGATTAAAGTTCCCTAGAAAATGATGGAATCTTGAATTTGATTATATGTAAAAAAGCAAACATAACTCCTCGAGAAAAATTAATGGTAGTGTACGAATACCCATCATGTTATTGTTCAACAATGACATCTTGTTATAATTGAGATAATTACAATACAATAACAACATATTAATTTTGAGTAGATTATCGCTTGTATAAAAAAAATTATTAAGAGATGTCATCTCGATTTTTCAAATTCCATGATTCGTCTGTTGACACTAAATTATTATTGAAATTGGTGTGTAAGCTCAAGTGACATTTCTATATTTTTTTAGCATAAAAATTCCATTACGTTAATAACTTTTTATATTAGATGTTACTTAGAAGAAATGTTAATACACCAATGCAAGAGAGTAATATAAACAACAACAAAACAAGAACAAGCTAATAGAATTGAGGAATTATATCAAGTGCCTGAATTAATTATTTTGAAACAAAAAATTTAAATAGCAGAAACACTGTAGCAAAACGCACTTACGACAATAAAACCATTAGATTAACCACTTACCTTTGTGTCGTTGCCTGGTCTACCAAAATGAGCAGCGTAGTCGTTCCCCGCAACTGATACGAGAGCAATGGACGAGTTAACGACGTCGTTTATGGCATAGACTCTTTGTTGAAGCAGTTGTTCGAAAAAGTCGATTTGGGTGGTCAAGCTTGGTCCACTGACCAATGTATCGAAAACACCTGTCCCTCCAAATGCAAAGTTCATCCCAGATTCTAGTTTGGATTTCTTCACAAATTTTCTCAATGCGTAAGGCACCGGAGATCTTATGCCCAGAAAGGAAGCTGCAATTTTGCAACACGTCAAAGAGGCACAAATAAAATAAAATAGGTTCTTTTTTGTTCTTAAACTTTTGTTAAACAATGCAGACTTGGGTTAAGCCTGGCTAGAGCAGTGAGTCAGACCTCTTGCACTCAAGTTCGAATCCCCCTTTTCGTAAATTCAATTAATTTAGAGTAGATTTTCACTTATATAAAAAAGATTTGGTTAAACAATAATTCAAGCAAATTGAAATTCATGCTCCCCTATAAAAAAAAAATATTATGCCAATACGATCCCAACCTAGTACTACTAACACAATTATATTTAAATTTTCTATATCTAAATAATATATGACGAATAAATTTATGTCAAATATTTCACATGTTAGCATACTATAAAAACCAAAATTGAACTTTGCCTCCTAATTTTGCTCATTGTCGCACTTTGGTCCATGAACTTAACTACAGTTAATGGAGATAAAAATGACATTTACACCCATAAACTAACATAAATTTTTGGAAAGAGGAAAATACTCTTGAGAAAGAAAGGAAACAAACCTATGTAATCGGTGAGGACACGACCGTTTGAAAACCGGCCGGCCGGCTTTCCCGGAAAAGTGATCCCGTAAGGTTCCTTCCATGAAGGAGCCACAGATTTTCTGATATTCCCAGTATCAACATACGAGTCCCCGAAAACGAAAAGTTTCACAGAGCCATGACTGTTGTGCTGATGAAGGTGATGATGGGCTTCAAGAACTTCTGCCACTATATATCAAAAGCAATAAAGGACAAATAAATACAATTTTATTTTGTCTAAAAAAAATATAAAGGCTGATATCAAGAACATATATATTTAGTTATGAAGAGCCTAACCTGTAAAAGTGGCGATGTATAAAAGGAAGAGACAAGAAGAGGCGATGGTGGTTTGCTTCTCCATTTGAAAGCGAAGCAGAGATTTTGAGGCGATGGCGTTCTTACATATATATGGGCATGATACAATGTACCCTACTTTAATAGCAATAGGTTTTACAGCTTAGAAAAGGAAAAGAAAAAAACGGATTTGTTTTTTGTTTGAATATTTATTCATTTCGGTGACTTTTAATAGTGTCATTTTCATTTTCCGTTCTGTAAAAGATGGAAAACATTTATGACATCCAACAATTTCGTTGCAGCACTTGGAAAGTTTTTTATGTATCTTTTCTCATTTCATATTTTCTCGACATTACTATAATTCTATAAATAAACTTACTTCAAAGCCTAGCAATCATTGTCATTTTTTTAAATCCAATTTTGCTCACTGCTTAATTATTCTGATGTAGCTTAGGGTTTAAACCCTAAAAATATTTATGATGTACCTCTCCATAAACCCTAAAACACTACTGTACTTGGATGGGCCTCAATAACCAAATCATACCTTTGTTCAAGCGGCCCCTTCTTACCACAAAGATACTGCAAACTAAGATAAATAGGCATCATGCTAACAGTATCTAGTTTAATGGAAAAGGATATAAGCTTCACTACTAGAAATATGGCCACTACACACTGATTTTCTAGATACAATTTCATAAAAGTGTCTTGTGAATTGTGTTTGGAAACTAATTCCAAAACCATGCCTATTAAAGATATTTGGGATAGTCAATGGTGTGTAATACAAAACATTGATTTTCATGATTTTCCTTTAATATTTGATCCTTTTTATCAGTCACAACTTGTCATTATCAGTCCCAATTTGTCAAAGGAAGCTGCAGCTCAGTTGACTCAACTCACAAATCATACAAAGAGACGTGGCTGGCTCCCTTTACAAACTGGCTTGGGTCCCCTTCACTCAGTTTTGGCATTTGGCCTTAAATTGGATACTGATTGTAAATGCTAGTCTCTTCCATTTAATTTTATATTAAATGGTTGATTGTGAATGCTAGTCTCTTTCATTTAATTATTTATTGAATGGTTTGAATGACAAACAGTAGCAAAAGTAATATTTAATTATTGGCATTGGTGAACTTTCCCGCTGGTTTAAAGAATTCAAAATATGCAAGTTCAAATAGGTGGGAGAATGCCACTATAAAACAGAGAACCTTTGTATTCATATGAACAGAGAAGAACGAAACCACTTCCAACCAACTCACCCTCAAACCCAAACATAGCAAATCAAAATGAGTGACTTCTTGAGGGAGCTGGAGTGTCATGGGTGGATGTCCCTGGGATAATAACTGACCGAAGAGGGATATCAAGAGAGGTTCATACCCTGCGACAAGCACTTGAGGAGCAAAGGGTGCAAAATGAAGAGCAGAGGAAGGCAAATGAGCAATCTGAAATGGCAATGCAGAGGCTTGGTGAGGAACAAGTAAAACTTAGGGAGGAACATGAAGCAAGTTTGGCGCGTTACAAAGCTGAACTAGATGCATCTTTCACTGAAAAGCTGGTTTCTCAGATTTAGCAGCAGCATTGGAAGCCCTTCGATATGTGGGAAATGTAAATGGATCTGTGAATGCTTTGCCTCACCTGTACAAAAATGATAGTACAAAACATGCATCTGCTATGTAAATATTTTTGGATCATATCGATATGAAGCATGGGCTGTGTAAAGTTGTTTGGATAATATGAAATATTGGGTTGCTGTGTTCAGTTTTCATTCAAGGCAAATACATAACATTGATGAATTAAATGAAGTCAATAGAATAATATGCAAAACAGCCCCCAAATCGTATTCGAATATGTGCAGATTTTTAAAATAAAATACACATTCTTATCAATATTAAAAGTAATATATAAATGGGGACTGATGGCTGTAAGTGTATTACATAAATGATAGGGTGTTA